AGATTAGTCCTATTGTCTAATATCATTTTGCGACGATGTAATCAATAAGTCCAGATTGCCTTTTGATTTAATAACTAATACTGTCGCCTTGAACTGCCAGGTAAACGATTGCACCTAATTTTGAAATCACAGAGCAATTATACCACTCTTTAACATTCACAAACAGTCAAGTTCTTTCGATGGTTGAGACATCCAGTGTGTCTAGAAAATCAGTATGTTCGTCATGGAAGTGTGAATTTTTTATGCTTCACTACTTTCCGATAGTGCTGTCTCTAGTTGAAGTCACGCACATAATGGGCTGTACACAAAGAAGCATTGAGTAGTTTAAAATGTTTGTGTGGATCTGCTTCCTGAGTTACAGTAGACCAAACTGGAGTTACAGATTGTGATGTCAAAGATCTCTAGTTGAAAAATGTTGTGTGGAAACAATTCTTAAAATGATTAAGGAAATAAATATTATAGTAATCTTGCGTGAATATAAATGAACAGAGTGAAAAAAACCGTTATTTCGGAAAATTAGCAATGCACCACGTGTGTTACACATGAATAATTGTCGTACACAAAAATTAATAAAACATATTAGGTATATGTGTATCTGAATTAAATATCATGTCAAATTTAATAAACTTAATTTTTTATTGCTCCTATTCTATTATAAGATTATGAAAACTTTGTACGTTCCTAAAATTATTTGTTCTAACTATAAAAAAAGATAAAAAAAAACAGAAATAGTTAAATTTTTATTTTTTTAGAATTTTGTGATTGAAATGATTTTTTAGTGATGTTTGAGAAATTAAATTTTTGGAAATTTATTTGAATAGGATTCTACTTGTAATTGCTTGAATAAAAAAAAAATAATTGTTAATATACTAATCAAATTAGAACCTTATTGTAATTAAGAATTAGTCAAGTCAATTAGGATAAGATTTAATATACTACTCTATAATATATATTATCAAGTATATTAAAATTTTAAAAAATTCAAGTTTTACTTAAAATTAAACTACAATATCTATTTTTACATAAAATCTTAGTGCAACTTTGCAAGTTTATTGTGACAAAAGAATTATACTGATATGACATAAATTAATTTTTAAAAACTATATATATGTTTATTTTTTATCTTAGAAATGAAAGGGTTAAATTTTTTGATAAAAAAAAAATACACATATATAGACATAATGTTATCTTTATATATGAGATAAATAATTTTAGAATGATAGAGATTTTGAAGGTTTTTTTAACAATTTATTGAAAATATAATTATGCATATTTTTTAAGCGTAATATAATTAATCAAAAAGTTTTATAGAACTTGATTGAATAATTAAAAAAGATGTTATAGATAATTTGGAGATTTAAAGACATAAGAATATGATTGTATTTCAAATATTTAATTGTGAAACGATAAAATGGTCTTTGCAATCCTTTATAAGGATAAAATAGAGATTCAAACATATTTCATATTAAGGTACTTTTATAAGTACTCTAGATATAGATATGAATATTAAAATCTTAGAAACTCGTATTGGTGATGAGTTCTAGATTGCCTGCGATTGGTTGATCATATTTTTCTCGAACTATTTTTGTTGTCAATTTAGTTTTTCTATATGGCATGGCAACAAGGCCCTGGATTTTAACGTATCTCATTTGGAATGTTGGATGAATTTGTGGAGTTTTAATCTGCTCATGTTGATTTAAAAACTGCCCAGAAGTCCATCATTTGTAAGGTAATATATGTACAAGCACTATTGTAGAGAAAATGGCCTCATATTTGTGTGCTTCATTAACATGAATTGGTATTTTGATACGAGTTGTGAGGGTAAGCCTTGGTGCAGTTGTAAGATTTTTTTATTGTGACTTGAGGGTTTGAGTTGCGAGAACAGTCTTTCTGCATGCGTGGGTAAGACTGCACACATTTGACGCTACCGAAACCTCACAATGGTGGAATCTCATGCACTAGGCTACTCTTTTTGCCGTGTTTTTGAGGATTGTAGCAGGCAGAAGTGAAAGTATCGGCTGGAGCCAACACGAAACTAGTACTAGATATGGAAAAAAAAAAAAGCATGTCCAGAATGAAATATGTTTGGGTATCTCTCTTTGGCTTCCAATTCTGGCAACCACTGCTCGTGTTTTGTCTAGCATTAGGGATTGGGTGCCTGAATTGTATACTATGCTTCAAATGTTCAATTTAATGGATTTTTGGGTCTGATAAGTTAAAATCGGCATCATAATGTATCTTATATTTTGAAAAAATTCGGTCCCAAGGCTATTTGTTTCTTATTTTTTTTGCATAAACTATTACTGGAGAGGGGGACGATGAAATTCAAAGCCAAGACCTTAAGATGCAACAGTGGGGGCGGTGGCTATCAGGCCAACCGCTTTGTCAGAGACAAGCACAAATTGAATCCTATCCTGCATTCCGGATGTTAATCCGAACAACCTTGAAATCTTTCTGTAAATGGTTTGGAAAATAGGGGAATTACAAAGTATGTAACATAACATGGAATGGTCGAACAGGGAACCCATCTGGTCGACCGTATGGACATCCGACATGTCGGATGTAGCAATTAAACAGGCAACAGATACATTCGGTAGATTATTCGGCTTGCCTGATGGTGTCGGAGCTTCTGATTTTTAGCTTGTTGGCTCACTATAAGGACAGGAACTTAAAGGGGGTTAGTTCTTCTGAGCTTCAAAAAGTTGAACCAAGCATTGAGGAAGTTATTACACCTTGAGTTGAAAGATCTATTGTGAAAATGCTATTATCTCTTCGTGTATACATTGAGTGATAATTGTATTATGAATATATCTTGAGAAAGAGAGTGTGTTGTGTAATCTTCTTAAGAGTGTGCTATAGAGAGAGATTCTACTTGTGTCAAGAAGAAGTAGATTGTAAGAGTTTTATTAATCTACAAGTATTCGAGTATTATGAATATATCTTGAAAAAGAGAAGATGTAGGCTAAGTGGATTAGGGTCGAACCTCTATAAATTGTGTATTTATTCCGCTCTCTCTTGTTCATATATATATATTGATTCTCTACACAATTATTGGTCACTCATGTTCAACTAAACAAAGCATTTCACAAGTAGTGAAATTGTCTTTTAAAGACGTCCAAATAGGGAAAAACCTAATTCACCCCCTTTCCTATGTTGCATTTGGGCCAACAATCTATTGGGGGAAAGGAGTATCTAACCATGGTATTGATTGAGGTATAAGANACCTAATTCACCCCCTTTCCTATGTTGCATTTGGGCCAACAATCTATTGGGGGAAAGTGGATTAAGTTGAATACAATCTTGAATACTTGTAGATTAACTTGTAGATAGTGGATTAAGTTTTGGTAAACCAGTAGAAGTTCCCTGTAGTTTTTTCCGAGTATGATTTTCACGTCAACAAATTGCTTGTTTTTTTATTGGTTTTACATATACACTTGGAATTGTTAGCACACATGTGCACTATGTGTTTTATGTATTGCATGCTTGACATATAAATCATCCATAGTTGTGTATTGAGTTTGGATTTTGGGATTTGGGTACCTCGAGTGAGATTGAGTGTTTAGTTGAAAAATTAAAATCAATTCTCATGGGTAAAAAGGGTCGTTGTGGTTGAAAAGGGGCTCTCACATTTAATTGCTAAGCTTTTATAAGAAAAGGTAATTGTGGTAGAATTACATTTTTAATTGGGGATTGTTTAAGCTAAAGTCTAAAAACCTACTCATCCCCCTCTAAGTAGTGTCATGTGTTCCATGTGTGTAATCGTGACGGAAGATCCACGTAGTTTCTCCCCTTTTCGGAACAACAATTGGTATCGAAGCATGGTTGTTCTGAGTTGCACGTAGACACATATTACGCATATTTTATATTTTGTTTACTTGCCTAGTGTGTTTGCCTTCTAAAGATCTATTGTTTTTTTTTTTAAAAAAATACAAGAGTTTTTTTTAGGGGGAGGAGGGGAGGGACTTGAATACTTGACTTCAAGAAGGCAAAGAGTACTGTTGAACCCAAGGTCGTTTCAAATTGAGACTCAAAAAGGAGGAGGTTTAATTGCATGACCATCACTCTTCAGCGGGTCTGATTTTGCATATTAGAAAGCTCGCATGAGAACGTTTGTAAAATCTATAGATGAGAGAGTATGGTTAATTGTGTAAGAGGGTTGGAGCTTTCCCATTGCCACCACACTAGTTGAAGGTGGTGAAGCGTTGGTTGAAATAAAATCTCTGAAGTCATGGATTAATTCCAAGATTGAGTCGGCGGGGTGGAACTCAAAAGATTTGAATATGATATTCAATGTCGCAACACCAAATGAGTTTTGGAGAATCAAAAATTGCAAGTCCTCTAAGGAGGCATGTAACATTTTTGTGGTATCTCACGAGAGAACTACAACAGTCAAGATGTCTTGTCTCTAGATGTACACCTCTCAGTTTGAGACTTTGAAGATACAAGAGGAAGAAACATTTAGCGATTTTTATGCCAAGTTTTGCGATATTGTGAATTCTTCCTTTGCATTAGGTACCAAAATCGACAATGCCGACATCTAGTGGAAAAGTTTTAGATCTCTACTTGAGAGATTTCCTGCTAAGGTAACCTTGTTAGGAACGAGTGTAAATATGGCTTCGATGTCGATCAAAGACCTAGTTGGGTCAATTTTGATTTTTGAGATGAACCTTCTTCCATCCAAGAAAGTGAAGGGTGTAGCTTTAAATTCAAAATTTGAAGAAGGGGGTAAATCCAAGTCACCCCATTAGGAGAAGAGGACATAACCTATCTGGCACAAAAAATTCAAAAGATATTTTAAGGCTAATGATATTGAGTTTTCAAGGTTGAAAGAAAATTCAAGTAGACCCAAGTCTCCTAAAAAGGGAAAAGAGAGTGGGGGAAAAACATTTTGACACGAGGTTGAGAAGAAAGGACAATGTCTCCAATATTATGAATGGCATGGGTTTAGACATATAGATGTAGAATGTCCAAGTGCTAAGAGGAAGGACATGCCCAAAGAAATGAGGGGAGCCTTGAAGATTAAGGTGAGTGAAAATGAAAGCGAATCCACATCAAGTGATGAATCCTCTTCTCAAAGTGATGAAGAGAACTTCACATCCTTCATAGGTTCGCATACCTCCCTCCCAAGAGAAACTTACAAAGATAAAGATGAGGAAGTTGAGTCGATTCCTACCATGGAGGTAGATGACTTAGAAATTGAACCCTCTACGAGTGAGGATGAGACAAAAAGTGTTGAGGACCTCCAAGATGAATACAATCAATTATATGAGGAGTGTCTAAAACAAAGTGAGAAGTTGCTTTTATTGAGTATGAGGCTCAAAACGAGTGAAGATGAGAAGAAAAAACTTCATGTGGACTTGGTGAAATCTAAGGTTGATATTTGTGGGCTTGAGGAGGAGAATAAGAAGTCACTCCATGACAAGGTGAACTTCCTTGAGAGTGAGCACCAAGGGCCTTTAGAGTCTAAAAAAGGTCTTGAGTACAAATTGATTAAACTTGATAGAGACCTTCACAAGTCACAAGAACTCTTAAATAGACTACCGTAGCATTGAGAAATTGAACAAAATGTTGTGTATAGGGAATAGTGTGGGTAACAAAAGATGCATAGGCTATACTAATGAGAACACCATCCCCACTTCTTCTAAGTCCATGTTTGTAAAGGGTAATCCTAATATTTCACATCCATAGGTAAGCACAAGTCATAAAAAGAATAAAAATGGTAAGGGTAAATTTTTAAAGAAGAACGTTGTTAAAAAAACTCAAATTAAATCACTTGTGTGTTTTATTTGTGGTGAACATAGTCACTATAGTGCACATTGCATTCATAAAAGGGAAATCTCGAATAAGAAGCTTATGTATCTAGACAACCAATCCAAAGCTTTAAGCAACTAAGTTTTAAAATTTTCTAAGCTTTTGGATAGGTCAAGTGAGTCCAATAATGGTCATGGATCATCCTCTATAGGCTCATATGCTAGACTGCATAAAACTCTTTCTACTCCCAAGGTTAAGGTTGATCTACACACATCCAAAGAAAAGAGAATTAGTCCTCCACCTATTCCCTGACCTGATCCGAGTTTTAGGGAAAGAAAACAAGTTTGTGTGATTAGAGAGGACTTTGAAAAACTCACGATCTCTATCAAGTTGGAAGCTCCAAGTGCTTCTAGGAAGGTCATGACTCCTAAAAAATAGGAGACGTGAGAGTATGGACCTAAGTGTATTATTCATGCATTGCATCAAACACCCTAGGGTCATACATTTTATATTTTTCTCTTTTTATTTTGGATTTTTTTTCTATTTGAAAATTTCAAAAACAATAGAAATTTGAAAAATCTAAAAACAAAAGAATTTGAAAAATTCAAAAATAGTTTTGAGGTTAAGTTTGTTATTCATTTTTTAGGATTTATGGTAATTATTTTGTATGTTCTTTTCTTTGTTTATTGCATGTTTATTCATATTTTTCTTTGTATTTGTTTATTTGAAAAATAGAAAAATATTGAAAAAGAAAAAAAAAGTTTCTTTTTTTTTCCTTTCTTGATTGATCATGGTAATTCACACTTTGGTTTGTATTATAATGATTTCATCTTTTAATCAAAGTTGAAGTGTGTATTGCTATGAGTCAAATTAAGGGGATAGAGAACTTAGTGACATAAATTTTAATGCATGATTCCTGAGCTAAAATTTCTTTCATTCTAGAGTGCTTGGATAGTGCTTACCTTTAAAAAATTTAAAACCAACTACACACCAATCATTCACCTTCAAACTTATGAGTCTTGATAATTTAAGGGCTTCATAATCTTAAGTGACTCTGAGTGTTGGTGATAGGTGAACACGTGACTAAATGTTAGTTAAACTCCATCCCTTAAAAGATGTTAAAGAGCTAATTATGAGAAAAGAGACCAATATGGCCAAATTTAAAAAGTTGAGGCATAAATAAATGACTAAAAACAATTGCACTTGAATTGTTAAGAGTAATTATGCTTTAAATTCATTGCTCGTATGTAAAGCTCAAAGATCTAATTCTAATCACATTTAGAAATATATTTGTAAAAGTACATAATTCACAATTGTGTCAATTGAAGACATACAAGTGGAAGGGATAAAAGATATGGGGAATTGTCTAAAAAAATGATTATGACACTCACTAACCAGTTATGCATTCACTTAGACGATGCATTAGGATTTCATGTTAAGCTTATGAATGTTTTGAATTAAACAAAATCCTAATGATGTCGGAGTTTGATTTCACACACGTCACACTAGAATTTGTCAAAGTTGAATAAAATTTAAATACATGTTAGTGAAATTGAACAAAGTGAGGAAACATTTCTCTAGGATGCTTGAAATTGAGTTCTAAATTTTTTAATGTCTTAGAGTAATGTAATGAAATGATGAAATTTGGATTGAGCTATTATAATGTGAATATGTGTAATTTGCATAATTAGGACATTGTGGATTTACATGTTTAATTTAAAAATTGCATTACATTTGGATCCAAATTCATCCATGCATGTGCATATAATTGTATATAATAAGATGTTCAAGCACCCATGCATGCATTTGAGACTTGAGGATAGGATGGATGAGTGAATGCCAAGATGGATTGGTCCATAAAAGAGATGAGACTGATTTGTCACTTAGGATTGTAAAGCTTCAGGCACCGTTCAAGCAAATTCCTCACCGCTCGAGAAGCCTTGGATAAGTCGGCGAATAGGGATTTGATTCATCACTTGACTTGAAAATCTATATGAGTGAGACCTTGATTTGTAGAGTGTTTAATAAGATGGCTCCGAGATGAGAGAAATTGCCTAGGGTTGAGGATGCATATAAGGAAGTCAAGGAGCACTTTGGTGAAAGCACTCAATTCCAAACACCAGAATTTGCAGAGAGATACAAATTGGAGTTTTCTCTTAGGTGAGTATTGATTGAACGAAGGATAAACATCACTGAGATAAATCACTCTATTGTTACAAATCTCACCAATCGTGGGTGGACTCAGATGTTTAATGAGCCCGTGACATCGAATGGTAGCATTGTAAGATAATTTTATGCCCATATTCCTAATCCCGGTCCTCAAATTGACCAATTTGTCACCTATATTAGTAGAGCATTAAGTACCCGTTTTCTATTGACCTCATTGCTACCACACTTGGCCTACCTAGGGTCGATGATGATTACCTTAGTGCGAGACTGATAGATCTGTTGCCTCGTCTCCATATATTGGCTACTGAGTTGTACGGTATGGATCATCTTGAACACTAGGTCACACTGAATTTCTTGTAAAAGCTTTTAACCCTATTTATAGGATGTTAAATCTCATAGCCAACTACAACATAGAACCGAATATCCATGTCTCAGACTTCACTGTCTAGAAATCCCACATGCTTTATTTCATAGGAAAATGGTTTGATCTTATTTTCCATTACTGATATTTGCGTATATTTGGCAGGCTTTTTTAGAGGGGAGTGTGTTATATAATTTGCCCTTTGGATCACTTATCATTTGTATCTACCAAAGGAAAGGTTTTGTATTTTTGCGTAGTGATCAGTTGTAGAACCCCATGAGGGCATTGAACAAAAGTTCCATGAAGCAGCGTAAGGCCCAAGTTGACTATGTTGTAGCATTTGACGAGAGAGGAGAAGCTATATGTCACGCCCCAAATTTCATAAAAGCGTGATTAAAACAAACACTTTGTTTATTTAAAAAAAACACATACCGGTATGTTGTAAAAACATCTAGAAAATTATCTTTTTAGTTGAAATAAATCATTTTTTTTTTTGAAAATTTCGGCGGAGTTTCCTTTGAAATTTGGGCTTCCAACCAATTGGTAAGAGCATCCCTGTGAGAGCATAACATAATTTAAACTAACTAAACATCAACAACATGTACCAAACCCGGATACATCTAACACCAATATATACCACAACTTAATACCAAAAGTCATAACTTTACATTACAACACCCAAAATAATAATCCCTCTATGGATGATCAAGTGTACACCAAATATGCCTCAAAACAACATTTTCAAATACAATGCTTGAGTGCTAACATTTCTACATAAGTTCTAAAATTAAATAAAAAAAACTCCAAAAGAGATTCTTTCTAGTCCAAGCTCCCACAAGCATTCCATCACTTATGCCCCATGATGTATGCTAGTCTCTGAAAATATTAGTAAGGGATGAGCAACCACACGCTCAGTAGGATAATTTTTTTTCTCAAGCATTTACTAATAAGTAATAAAAGTTTTCTATAATTAAATACAGGTACAAGATAATAAGTAAAACATTTATAAAAATCTCTCAATACCTCAACATTAGAAATATACAAGGTATAAATTAAAGTCAAACCATTATAGCAAATACCGTGCATGCCTCGTATACGGACAATATAATCAATCACACTGGTTCACGCATGAACCATCCTCGGGGAACCTTTTGGGTCTTACACCCTAGGGTCTTATCGCCCTTCTTACTTTTCAAGGGCAACGTGTAGGGCACAACTTGTAATGCTATATAGGCCATTATCGAAAATCACTACCATAACCAATCTCCCTTAGGACTAGTAGTCACCTTGGCAACCCATTCAATAGGCCCCAACTGTCTACTAACCCTCTGCTTATCAGTATCGAGCATACATTTTTCAAAAATCATTATTTTCTATATCCATAAATTCTTTTGAAAACACATGTCATAACTTTGACATTTTATCAAACATGTGGTAAGCTCAAATCTTAAAAGTTGCATTTTCAAAGCAACATAATCATTTCCAAGAGAAAATAAGTCATATATATTATGTACAAACTAATAGCATACTTCAAAACCCTCAAATCATAGGTTTAATCAAATACTCAACTAAACTCAAACTAGGGCATTTCCATTTCCAAAAGAATAAGTCATATTATGTACAAGATTATAACATACTTTAAAACCTCAAAATCATTAGTTTTATCAAATACTCATAACTAAAATCAAACAAGGGTTTCAAACCCATAGCACTAAAATCATTTCCATTTCCAAGAGAATAAGTCATATTTTGTACAAGATCATAATATACTTCAAAACCTCCCAAATCATAAGTTTAATCAAATACCCATAATTAAAATCAAACAAGGGTTTGAAACCCACCACACTAAAATCATTTTTATGCATGTAGGTTCACAAATCCATGACATATTCAACACTATATCAAGGTTTATAACAAGAATTTTGCCATCAACCACATAGTAAGCTTTAACTAAAAAAAATACATGAGATGCACAATGTAAATGCAAGAGAAAGGAAAACCCCCACCTAAGAATCAAGAATTTCAAGCCAAATTCCTAAGATTTTCAAACAAACTCCAAGCTTTATGGACCTTCTTCTTCCCCTTTTTATTTCCCTTTGTCTTCTCTTAGGGTTCTAAGAGGTTTTGAGTGAGAGTAGAATGAAAAAATGGAAGAAAAGGGGCTGAAATCTGTGTTTTAAACACCGCAGTCCCATAATCTAGTGTTCATGAGCTGAAAAATATATTTTTTCTTCAAAATTATGATTTTGCCACTAAACATTCTAA